TAATTTGTCTGGCTGGTCAAACCAGGTTTTTCCCACTGTATCTAATGATGGTGTGGCTTCACCTTGAGTGTTGTATGCAGTTCTGGGCACCACAATTTAAGATTGATGCTATGGCACTTGAATGCATCCAAAGGCTTTAAGGCCTGTCCTGTAAGGAGTGGCTGACAATTCTGGGTTTGTCCGGTTTGGAGAAAAGGAGTTTGAGGGGCAACCTCATTGCCTCCTGAAGAGAGAAATGCTGCTTTTTTTCTCCCTGGGATCTAGTGACAGGATTTTATTCAGAGCTGCACAAAGGGAAGCTCAGTCTTGACAGCAGGAAATATTTCTTTACAAAGAAGATGCTCAAGCCTGAGACAGACTTCCTGGAGAGGTGAATGATTGAGCGCTCAGATCATCATTGGAAAAGAGGCATTAGGATAATGCCCTAAATAATGCACATTAACTTTTGGTCAGCCCTGAATTGGTCAGGCAGTTGAACATGACGCAAACATTTTGGTGAACAGGGACTTTTTTTTTTTAATTACTTGGAATGATAGCCAGTATCTGATTTGTTAAGGTATAGAAAGAATTTCAGAGGGTAAAATATTTTTTTTTTAACTGTGCTGGTAAAAATCTTTCTCTTTTTTCATGATATAGTGCATTTTTGGCAAATGGGTGATACATACAGTATTTATTCTGGACGTCTCATATATACACAAACACATTGTGAATTTCAGAGAAATATGTAGACAAAGTCTCTCCAAGCAGGAACAATCCAGATGCTTTTCTGCTAGTTTCTCTTCATATTATTTGGTTGCCATCAGCCCCATGCTTATCATGCTAACAAATACTCCTATAAATATCATAGCATAATATAATTTATAATCTACAATAAAATATCATAGCATAATATAAATTGAAATCCACAAGAAGTAAACCACTCAGGCAATATGCACTGGTTTTGAAGGCAAACACTGTTGAAAGCATGTCATTTACAGGACCCCTTAGTAGCCAAAATAATTCATTATCCATGCCACAGAATTTGTCTTTTAATTTTTTCTAATTTAATTTATTACGTAAATATAATTGAGAAATAAATACTGTTTAAAAAAAAAAACCCACAAAACAAACCAAGAAATCCAACTTTGCAAATAGCTATCATTATTTGTTATTTGTTGATGATTACTCAGCTATTTGAAACCATAGTTTAACTTACAAGATAATGTTAGTGGAAGGAGATGCTACAAAACCTGACTCAGCTAAGGAAGTTTAATGCTAGTAAAACATACATTTGAAATTGCTCAGCTTGGGTGATGGGGTTCTTGATAGCAATCTGAACCCATTTTGCACCCTTCCATGTTAATTAATATTTTTTCACTTCATTTTCTTACCCACTTCACAATGATGCAATATGGGAGAATATCTTATTCGTTTGGTATTGTAGTGGTGAATAAGGTATTTATTTCCTTTAACCCCTTCAAACACCTACTGTATTACCTGTTTATATATCAAAATATCACACTTATACTCTGCCCAGAGTCTTCAAGCCCACTGACTTTTCTTCATGTTATATATAGCCTACAATATTTTTTTATGTAGTACGACCAGTTCTTACAGCTTATCAGAACATATTCGACTTNAGTAAACATCAGTTTCACAATGCTTCTACAGTCATTGACAGTTAGCAAATGCGTATCAAATATGTAGTCTATCATTTGTTTAGCTGGTTCACTCTTAAATCCAAATTGACTCACTGTCTGTCGCAGCTGAGCTAACAACTTCCAATCAAGAGGTGTATAGGTCCCTAACTGAACAGCTTGTCCTTGTTGGTTTACCCCCGGGGTGTAAACTACAGGCAGAGCCCACGTCCTCGCCGCCTCCACGGTGACTTCATCCCCACTCTCTAGCCCATGCTTAGCCAATGCGTTCCATGCCTCTCTCCTCTGTCTAGCCATTTCCTCCCACAGGTCACTCTCTGCCCCAGGGACAGGATCTGGCTCTGGCGGAGATTGTGAACTACGCATTCCAGGCTTAACAGATTGGGCTGAAGGGTCCTTAATATCAGAGGTGGCTACGACAGGCACTTCAACGTCTTCTGTGGACTCATTGAGAGGGGGCGCCGAGGGCCAAGCACAATCATCTGTGCCCAAACTGCTAGAAGCAGGTATAATTACTTGAGAGACACTTGGCGCTAAAGGTTCATGATCTCCATACTGTGCATTCCTTTTATAGGCTTCTACTGCTTGCTGAGCCGCTCTTTTTTCTGCCTGATGTTTCAATAGAGTATTATGCACAACTCGCCAAATTTTTCCTAACTTTTTTGCTGTTTTATCTTCTTCTAAGACTGCTTCACACAACACATCTCCTAACTTACGCCACTCACTCAATTCATGTACCGTGTGCGGGTTGGAAAAACAACCCTTCGCGTGACCCCATGCTAGCAATCCCGGTACGTCTTTTCTAGTATTTATGTCTCTAACCCCCAGCTTATCTAATAACCCCAAAAATAAATCATATGCAGCTTGCCTGTCCATTTTTGTCGTCAGCGCTGTTGCACCTCTCCGGCTCCGGCAGCACGTATGGCTCAAGACCACCGATGTAGTCCTTGAGGGTGCTTTCCCTTCGTCGTATAGCACCGACCCGGGTGCATCGGGCCCCAACACTACTTCACCGATCGTGGCGTGTTCTCTCCCCCGCTTTCTTCTCAGCAGGGGGTCGTCGTCGGGGTCACCATTTGTCGGAGAAGGGAGACGCAGACACCAGGTGGTCGTCAAGCAAATCTCGTTTATTGATCATTACACTCGTGTCTAAATACATGATTTAATTAGCTCATACATATTGCAAAAGTATAGCTCATCATTGGTTATTCTGCCATCTACGTTACTGCAGTACATAGCTATGTGCTTCTGCATTCTTGCGGTTACCAGACCGTCCCTGGTTCTTCTTTCTCGTTCTGTCTACCACATTCTTGTTCTCCTCCCCATATCTCAAGGGCAATCCGTCCTTGAGACTGCCTCTGCACTAGTGGTGTTTTATCTCTAGCAAGTTTGTACAGTCATGGCCTTTCTCGCCTAACCATTCTGCCACAAAAGTCTCCACAATGGCACATTTATGCTTGCATCCTGTTTACGTATTCTAGCACCTTACCTCATCCTGCAGTCTTTATTCTCTTCCTGCTCTTAAGGGAGCAGTCAGCATTTCACACAGGTTTTGTAGTCCCTTCTTTTACACAAGGCAATTTTATAAATGATTCCTAATTCTTAATTTCTCTGTTTCAGTTTCCAGTTAATGTTCTTGTCCTATTTGTAAACCTTGTTTGCTGTACCCCTTGTTTAACCTGATAGTTGTGAGTAATGTTAATTACTTACTGGCTGTTGAAGTGTTTTAAGAGTTCTCTTTTAAGATGTACCTCTACCCCTTTCCCTTACTTCCCTGTTACTATGTAACAATGCTTCTCCCAGGGGGCTGTGTGCCTGAGTCCTATGCAAACTAAGACACGCTGGACACCAAAACAATGAGCTAACAAAGGAATAAAAGGACAAAGAAATATATTTTAGCAAGCTATGATGAAAGACTGTCTTCCTGCATCACCTAAGCCTGCTTAAAAACCATCTTCTTGCATCACCATGGCCTAAGAGGACTGGAAAGGAGTGAACCCCTTGGACAATGAGCCAGAATGACATGCCTCCTGGCTACTCCCATAAGGATAGAAATTCCAGCTGTGCAGTGTGTGCTGCAAAGCTGAATTGTGCCTCCTCCTTGGAGATGCCAGTGTGGGGGCAAACGACCCCTTGGGCCCCACCTTAAGGCTGAGTCCTAATAAAGGCATAAAACAGGAGTCTGTGTCCTGACCAATTTATTTCACACAGACCTCCCCAAAAAAGTGTTCCAGGGGTTCTCAGGGGCACATGAGCGCTCCAGGCCCTTCACCAGCCTTGTCCTCAGCGCCTTTCCCATGAACCCCCGACTCCCCCCGGGACTGTGCCCAGCCAGCATCAGCGCTCACCATCCGCGCTGGCCGGGGAGCTTGGAGACCTTCCTTTCACTCTGGGTCCACAGTGACGCTGCCGGCTGCAGCTGCAGTGGGAGGGAAGGAAGGAGGGAAGGAAGGATAGCAGCAGTGCCTGTCTCTGCCTTTTGTGATGCTGGCCCATTCCAAGGGGGTAAATTTACTTCAGGTGGAGCTTTTGCTGTTGTTCTTGCTCATGTGCTGAAATACAGCAGATTCATTGTCACTTTACACATTCAAAATAGAAGTTTTTCAGTTCAGCCGAGCTTGGCTTGGTACGGCTGAACACTACATTCAGATCTGTTCAAATAAACTCGGCTAAAGTCGTTTCAGCTGTTCTTTTCTATCAAATTTGTCTCGGTTGGACAAATCTTGGCCAGGTTCAGCTCTTAAGCTGAACTTGTCAATTATCGGTTACACTCGGCTATTATCAGGCATTCGGGTAACCTCGGCTATTATCAGTACACCTTGACCATTATTGGCTGTTTGGCTATTAATGGCAGACATTGCTGCTTTTCGGCTACACTCGTCTAGATTCCGCTCTTTGGGACAGCTTGGCTTGCTTCGGCCGAACTTGAAGCCGCTCACTGCTTTCCCCCAAGCTCAACTTGGATCGGCCGAACTCAGAGCCGCAAGCTGCCTGCTGGAGTCAGAGGCACAGAGAGTGTGCCTTTATCTCTGATACCTGGCTCTGACATCCAAGAAAGCATTGAATTTCATATAATATCTTGAAAACAATTGTTACGGTTAAATAGAAAAGCTAGGAGTGTAAATGTGTAAATAAGAAAGTTTTCTTAAGTTACTGTGTGAAAAAGTTTGGAGTTTAGTTTAGAGAACAGAAGACAAGACGGGGGATTTAGGGCATTGTCTCTTGTCCTTCTTTCTTCTTTATCTTCATCTTCTAGAGGTTTTTAGGTGGTAGTAGGTGATTGGATAGAAGATGCCACAGTGCAGCACACAGGTGTTGGGTCATAGGGTCACTAAGAAAAATAATTTACTTGGCATCTGTTAATTGGGTAAATAGACACATAAAAGAACTTGAAGAAGATCTTTGTTAGCCATTTTGCACCATTCTATCTTAGTGTATGTATCTCCTTGTACCTTGCATACATGTATACATGTATATGCTTGTATACATGTAATGCAGATAAGAGAAGAATAAACAACCAAGTCTGAACAAGAGAAAAAACTGCTTCCTTCTCATCAATTTCAGTTCAAGGGGAGAAAAAAACGTAACCACGAGTATAGAGACAGCCTGTCTATAGAGACAGCCGCCTTCCTCAGCTCCCTGAGGGTGGCGTGCGCCAGGCCAGGGTGCCGCGTGGGAAAGCGCGGCCACCTCACATTAAAGCTGCACAGCTTGGTGTTTTCCTGCTGCTGCGTCCTGTGGGTGGCCTGGCCACCGCATGGACATGAATGGGAACGGGGGGTGGGCAGGAGCTGACGAGGCAGTGACAGCACTCGCTCTAATTAAAGGGCACGATAGCCAGAGTCTGGGTTCAGCAGAGCTTGGTTCGGTTTGGCTGAGCTCATAAGGTTTTCCTCGGTTCAACTGCACTTGCGACAGTTCAGCCAAACTGGTAAGATTCGGTTGATCTCACTTCAGTTTGGCTGATCTCGTAAGATTGGCCATGGTTTGGCTGAGCTCTGCTGGTTCGGCTGAACACAGCCTGGTTTGTCTGAATGAGGCTACATTTGGATCTGTTCAAATAAACTCAACTAAAGTCGGCTAATCTCATCTCGGTTGGGTAAATCTCAGCCAGGTTTGGCTCTTTGGCTGAACTCGGAAATTACCAGATCCACTCAGTGATTACCGGCTGTTCGGCTAAGAGCGGCTATTAATGGCAGATGTCGCCGCTTTTCGGCTACACTTGTCTAGATTCCACTCTTTGGGACAGCTCGGCTCGCTTCGGCTGCACTCAGCTGCACTGAGCTCAGCTAGGCTACATGTGGCTGAGCCAGATTTGGCTTACAGATTCCCTGATGTCAGTCCCTAGGAATTCTACATGACAGAAAATGGAGCCACTAAAGGCTTTGCAGGTTTTTAAACAAATACAATTTTTAACTCCAGTCTTGGTACAGAGCCGATGGCTCCTTCAGGACAAGAATATTTACATGTAGTAGCAATTCCCTCATTTTCATCTCGTTTTTATTTAACCTCCCGAAAAGTCAATACATATCACAAGGAATGTGCAGTTCTGTTTTTTCCCTGTACAATATTTGGACAAAGGACCTGGGACAGCATGCTGTTATGAGTCCATTGAATAAATCCTGATTTACATTTCAAAGGCTCTCATTCTGGCACTGCATGTTTGCAGGTCTGCACTGACATGTTCACCTACTCTCTTGGCCACATTTGAGAACAATGTAACAGATTTCACAGGGAATTCCCAATAAAACTTAGGCATAATCAATGAGCAGAAAATCTTCTGGAGTTTATTTCCATCTCTCACCTTTTCCAAGTGGAGGGAAGATGGGCTTTTGTTGCACATTGTGGCAGCACTGATGGATCAGGAATTTTTTTTTTTTAATTAAATAAAAGGGTAATAAAAATAAACCAAGATCTGATATAAACGTCCTTAAAAGCCACTAAAACTTTTTAAACCCAAGAAGACAATCATGATTCCCAATTTCAGGCTTCTATTCATACTGGTTTTGGTATGATGAAAGCAACCAGGCTCTTTAACAAATAGTAAATCATCATGATCAAACCTCTGGGTCCTCGTTATTTGCACTTACATCCCACCGGAGGAAGCTCTGCATCCTTTTGTTCCCATCCTGTTTTGGTGTGAGGATGGATATTAACGACACACATGTGCACAAACAGACTTTCTGGTTCTTCAAAAAGTTAAAAATTCCTGTAATAAAAATGATAGAAGTAATACTGTGTTTCAGACTGTTCAAGAAAAAGGAATTGGAGCTTTAATGTCCCACTGAGATATCTGAATAGAATCTTCCCCCGAGTTTGCACACAAAATATTAGGGTTTTTGACCAAACAAGTTAGGTCTGTATGAGAACAGCTCAGGAGGCTTTAATGGCTCACAGTGATGATGGAAGAGCGCAGAATGTTAAAGTGTTAGTTCCCCAAATGTACATCCCCTGATGCAGACAATTTTTTTTGCAAAGAGATGTCGCCTTGAAAACTCAGCTTCTGAGCTTGCTAACATAGTTTTCTAAGGACTTTCCCAGGACAGTAACTGTAAACATAGATATGTGTACATTCTTTCTGTTACACGTCTTGTGATGGGCATCATCCCTGGCCGTGGTCAGAAACCTATAAATCCTGGGAGGAAAAATAAACTCTGCTCTTTCTTTCACCATACCTCGACCTGTGTCCGCGTGATCTATTAATCTTCAGCGGTAACAAAGAGACATAATAGTTTCCTCTCCTTGTTTCCGAGTTCCTGAGTCATCCTGTAATTCATAACCTGCACTAATGCAGACCAATCTGACAGGGGTAAGTAACATATTTGGCTTCTGTGCTCCAAGCCACATGTCCCTGATGTAAATGGAAGTCAGGAATACAGAAACAGCTGTGGAAAAAAGATGAGAGAAAAATCAGAACAGATATTCTTCTATTTCCACACAGTATTACCAAGCCAAGCTGTTTACCCCTAGGACCATGTTATTTTAAAATAGTTCCCTAATTCTTTTCCTAGATGGAAAATCTGGAGTGTCTTTGCCCATTCAAAGCCAATGATCCTACTCACAAGAAGGAACAAACCAGTTTCCTGTTAAATAAAACAGTTGGAAATCCAATCTGCCAGATCCTATCCTTGACCAGCAATAGGGATCAGTAGCCAGGCCCACGTGGACCTTTTTTTTTGCAGACTACTCTCCCTCTTGGAATTATATTTTTTTTATACTTTTTGTTCCATTTTAGCCCTTGAAAGGGAAGTTTCTTAGAGGGAGTGTGAATGTCATAGTGCCAGAAAACCTCACAGTGTGACCGTGCTCTATGCTGCCCACCCCTGCCCCCATCCCAGCTTCTGCTTTGGGAAGCCATGAGCCTGGGTGGATATGGGAAAACTAGTTCAATGGATTAAAAAAAGACCTGGAATTTCCTAGTTCCTCCCTCCACTCTCTCATAACACAAATGACAAGAACAAGATGAGTCACCTGTCTTGTCCGCATCCTCTTCCATTGTTGCTGACAGGCACAGGGATTTCACAAGCTTGTGGAAGGTGCTGGACAGTCCCTGTTCCTCCATGAGCTGGAGCGTGATGGAGCTGAGCACAACGAGCTCCCCAGAGAGCCCAGCTGAGGTGCTGCTGGGCTGGCAGAGCTGGGTGTAAAGTTTGAAGAGCTTGTTCCTTGCTGCCTCATCCCTGAGCACTTCCTGTGTGGCTGCCAGGTGCGGTAGGACGTGATTCCCCAGCCACCTCAGTGCTGGAGTCACGTCCTGAGGAAGTTCTGCCCAGCCAGGGACCTCAGCAGCCACTTCGTGACTATGTGAGTGGACACATGGGTGACAGCCACTGCCTCAGCCCCAGGGTCTAAGCTGGGGTCTATCTGTCTCAGCCAGGTCTGAGGGTCTCCCCTCCTTGTATGGAGGGCAGTGCCAGGAAAACTGGGTCCCAGTGGGCAAGTATGGAATTCAGATGTTCTCCACATTTCTTCAGCTTAGATACTTCCACTTCTGCAGCAGTGTCATCATCCACCACGTTCTTTTTACAGGTGTGACGATACACATGAGATGAGGCTTGAGGTTTGTTCTTGTCTCTAGTATTTTCTGTAAGAAGAGAAACCACCACCAAAATAAAGGTCACATACTCCAGAGGATTTTCCTGTTACAAAACTGTGCAAGTAAGGTGCTCTCCTGCCTTGATTCAGTTGTTATATTTGCAAGCACCAGCCTCCTTTAGCAGCCTCACAGAGCCTGAGCTGTTCAAAGGGGCTCCAGGAGCTCTCAGGCGCTCCAGGCTGGAGCCCTATTCCAAACTGGATCACCCAGCCTGAAGATGAGAGGAGATGAAGCCTGGAGCACACAACCCACACAACACAGTAAGTTCCAAAAGCTCTCTTCATGTCTTTCTGAGGAGTTTTAAAGGGTGAGAAAAACTTTAGAAAAGCTACAGCTTTTACGGTATCCCTTAAATACATGATGCTTTCTTAACTGATACAGAACACTTAAACAAACCTACAGAAGCTTTAATGTGCACCAAGAACAGTTGTTGCTGCTGCAAACCAGTGTTAAAGTTTTAAGATCTCCCATGCCTAAGTTCCTTGCACTTTTTCTTCACAGGGAGAACAAGCAAAGTTACACAAGTCCTGATCTGTTTTTCCTTTCTTCAAAACTGATGACAAGAAAAGTCAACTATTTAATTTTCACTTGCTTTATTTATTTCTTGTTTTTACTTACACATTGCTTACATATTACTTTACTTACACATTGCTTTCAGACACCCATCTACACTCAGAATGATTCAAACCTTTGAGCAAAAAGGCTCCAGGAACTTTTCTTTTAAGATTCCATTGATGTCATGGAGTTACTTTACCTTTAAGGGAGTTGGAGTTGCTGGGAAGTGCTTGGAGTCTTTTCTCCTGACCAATTATCGGTCATTGCTGGGAATTGACAGCAGTTTAGGCCATTGAAAAGTTTTAGGCCATTGAAAAGTGGGATCAACTTGTGAACCCTACCTTAAAATGTAAAAGCAGAGCTCTCTGGGTTCTTTTTGTTTTCTGGCTGTGGAGGGTGGCGGAGCTCCAGGCCTCCCGTCCCTGCCCAGGCCATGTGGCCGGGCAGGGATGGGGCCGGGCCTGCCGTGTCTCCAGGCCGGGAGATGGGGGGGCCTGGGGAAGGTTTTCCTCGGGCCCGGGCCGGGCCGAGCCGATCTCTGGCTCGGCTGCAGGTTTTGCTGTAACTAATTCACTAAAAACTGCCCAGTGAAGAAAGAGAGAGGCCCTGGACTTGCAGCGGGTTGGAACAGCGACTACACGCTCCAGAGCAGCCATGAGGAACCTTCCATCACAGACGGCTCCAGCTCCTGTTCGGCAGAGATCACCGAACCATCTACAAAAGCCTGGGCAAGATTTTAACTCTTTCATTACCCAGATGAGACTTGCAGATTAATCTTTTTATCCAGAGAGAGAGAGAGAGATCAACATGAAAAGAGACTTTATAAACTACCAGTGACAGGAAAGAAAAGAAGCTTCAGGAAAGGTAGAGAATTAAGAAGATGCTTTAATTAAGCTGAAATATCTCCCTGTTAAAACTATGGAGATGGACAATGAAGTCTTGAAAAGAACTCCCTTAATTCATGATATAGGATCTAGAGAGGAATAGTGTTCAAAGTGTAAATTTGAGTAAAGAGTAATTATAGCATAGTGAAGCTGGGAGATTAAAAGCCTTGAGAGGCAATGAGAAAACTGTTGGGAGATTTGAAGCCCTGAGAGGCCATGAGAAAACTGTTTTCTGGTGAAGCTCACAGAAACAGATGAAGAAGACTTTTTTTTGCCTTTGAATAACTTATCCTTAAAAATGCTATCTCTAGACTCATGGCCCATGCACACTTCAGAGTGATGTGAAAATGGGAGAAGTGAACTCTAATAATAGCAGCTCTGAGCAGCTAACATTAGGGCAATAGAAAACTATAACAAAAATAGTTTTCTTGTGAGAAATTCCATAAATTAACAGGAAGAAACTTCTGTTTCTCTATAAAGATTGGTAAAAAGACTAGCAAGAATTGGGACTGTTTTAACCATTAGAGTTCCAGAGTTTTTGTCTCTGTTGTCATGTGAACAAGGGAATAGTGGGTAGATAAGGGATGGAAGGGTTTTTCTGGAAGTTTATTCTGGTGTTCTTATTATTGTGGTTTGTCAATAAACTTTCTTTTTTTCCCTTTTAAGTTGTATGCCTGTTTTGCTCTTGTTCTAATCCATATCTCACAGCAAGAAGTAAGTAATTTTCTTAGTTAGTGGTTTAAAACCACGACACGTGTCCTTTCTCGGGTGTCTCTGCGCATGTGTCCCCGGTTGCTAGGGGGTCTTTTTTCTGCCTTCTGGTGGTCGCAGGATGAAGATCATAGGTCTTCCTCAATCTTATCCTTTTGACCTTTCTTCACTGTTTTCTGTTAAGGCTTATCTTTGGTGACTTTCTGGAATTCAAGAAAGCTCGTAAGGCCGTTAGTGATTTATGCAAGCGTCAGTAGCAACCTTCAACCTCATCCTGATTCCACAAAGCGTAGTTTTGCAAAGCATCGTATCTACATGTTTAGGCGAACAAAAGGGTCTCTGCTTATCACACAACTTAGTCAAAACCTTTCACCTAATTTCCAAGAATTTGCCTGTGGTATAGCCATAATTACAGAAACATGGAATTACATAATTATTGTAGTTTGAAGGAACCTCTGGTGATCATCAAGTCCAACCATCTTGCCAAGGCAGGGTAATCTAGAAAAAGTGTTATTGAAAAGCAATGAGGAAGGTTTGGAATGTCTTCAAAGCAAGAGAATTCACAGCCTTCCTGGAAAACCTGTTCTAGTGCTCCGCCAATCTCAGTGTAAAGAAGTTCTTCCTCATGTTGAGGTGGAACTCCTTGTATTTTATTTATATTATATGGCCATTATCCCTCCTGTTTCTGAGCTTCACTAAAAAGAGTCAGGTACCTTCCTATTGACGTTTACCTTTGAGATATTTATGTACATTAATGAGATCGCCTCTCAGCACTCTTCTCTCTGGACTAAAGAGGCACCACTCCCATATCTTTCTATGAGAGATGCTCCAGCCCCTTAATTATCTTTGTAGCCCTACTGGACTCTCTCAAGTAGCTCCTTGTCTTCTTGTACCGGGGAGCCCAGTGTTTGATACAGCACTCCAGATGTGGCCTCATTAGGGCCAAGCAGAGGGCCGGATCACCTCCCATTGTGCTGCTCACAGTGCACCCCAGGATACTATTGACCCTCCTGGCCCCAGGGCACACTGCTGATTTATTATCAACTTGCCATCCACCATGACTCCCAGGTCCTTCTCAGAAGAGATGCTGTCTAGCAGGCCAGCCTCCAGCCTGTGCTGGTACTTGGTGCAGGACCCTACACTTGCTGTTGTTGAACCTCATTACGTTTCTCTCTATCCAGCACTCCAGCCAATCAAGGTCACTCTAAACGGCAGCACAGCCTTCAGGTATCGTGAGTTCCCCACTTTCATATCCTCATCAAACTTGCTGAAGATACATTTTATTCCTCTGCCCAGTTTGTTGAAAAGTAAGTTGAATAAGACTGGACCCAATGCTTATCCTTAGGGAACACAACTGACTGACAAACTTCTTTCCACAACCTCTAAGCTCTGCCCTTCAGCCGGTTCTCAATCAACTTCACTGTTCATTCATCTAACCTACAGTTCCAGACCTTAACAATGAATGTAATATGAGAGACAATGTTAAAATCTTTGCTGAGGTCAAAGTAGACAAAAAGTGCTCTCCCCTTGTTCACTAAGCTATCCTGCTGTGCCATCATAGAAGGCTATCAGAGTGGCCAAGCATGATTTCCTCTAGGTGAATCCATGCTGACTACTCCTTTTCTTCTACATGCTTGGTCATTACTTCGAGAAGGCCTGTTCCATTGCATTTCCAGTAACAGAGGTGAGGCTGACTGGCATGGGACATCCTTAATTCACTTTTTGAAGAAGGGAGTAACATTGGCTTTCCTGTAGTCAATGTGTTCTTCCATCCTCCATAATTTTTCAAAGATGGTAGAACAGCTTTGAAATAACATCTGCCAAGTCCTTCAGCACTGACCCACCCCATCAGGGTCCATGGATTTATGGGCATTAAGTCTGTCTAGCCAATCTCGTACCCAATGCTCTATCACTAGGGGAAAGTGTTCTTTTCTCTGGCATTCTTCTCTTACATTTCTGCGCTTCGGGCAGGCGAGTGATTCCAGCTCAGCTCAGCAGCAGCGGGCAGGTGACACGGGAAGAGCAGAGCTTTACTCAGGCAGAGCTTTGGCGAAGGGAGCCAGCAACAGCTAATCCCCCGAACAGGGGAAAACCAGGGATATTTATAGGAGAGGAGAGGGGCGGGGGGAGCCCGAGGTACTTGTATCTGGGTGGGACAGCAGTGGGGAGCACCAATGGGGCACAAGAGTTTAACATAACTAACTCAAAGAGCCCTTGAGCGATACATTGTCTCTCTCTGAGTGCAAGGTGTCTTGCCTCCAGGGTAGAGCCAGGATCTCAGCCTCGGTGGGCTCCTCCGCACCCACACCTTTCCAAAGTGTGGGACTCCTGAGCACCATCAGGAGACCCACGTGCCCATTCTTTTTTCCACATCTTATAAACTTCATTTCTTAGTTTGAGATTAACTAGGAGCTCCTGGCTCATCCCTGCAGGTCCCCTGTCTGCTTTGCCCAGTTTCTTGATCATGGGAATAAACGCTGGTCTTGAGTTTAGAGGAAGTGAGGC